TGACTACGTGGTGCACTGATGTGGAAATGGCAGCCATGCAGGTAATTTTACAGGAGAATCAGAGGACATCGTCCATCTCCCCCGCGTACCCCAGGAGCATACAGCATGCTACCATGCAGTCCAACACAAGCACTAAAATTCACCACAAGGTCTTCAGACTCCTGTATTTTCATGAGTTGCCTAGCCTTCTTGTGACCATTTTAACCCGACAAAGGTCTGTTGTATTTTCTGGTTTGGCTTTGTGGTTTTTTTAAAGTAGGACAAAACCAGCAATGTGAGGAATGCTTCTCCCAGATCAAGACTCTGAGGAAAGCTGTTCTTCTATATTTGATATGAGAGTAAGCTGTTCAGTGTGGAGTGCAATAGCAAGCTATGTTCCCAACCCTCCTTTAGGTATTATTCCTAAAATCAAGATATAGGAGAAGATATTTATGAAGGTGAGATGTTTTCAGCTGTTCTTAAAGCTTGCTCCAAGATTGGCTTTTGTTGACAACATTCATCTAGAATTAAATCTCATCACTAAATAAAATAGCTGCCCTGTATAGAAGCCTTGGTAAGCAATTCATCAAAAAATGATAGAGATACATTATATCCTCAGACACATCCACATAAATACAGAAAATAAAAACTCTATTTCAGTACGACTATTCATATTACCTAATCTGGCCACTTGAATACAGCAACTTAAGAAAATTAGTTTGAGTAAGTACAAAAGCTGTGGCTGGTTCATTTTAAAACATTCCAGCAGAACTCACTGTAGCCTGACACTGAAGCAGATGAACGAGAAATCTACTCTACAAGAGACTGTGTAAAGATCAAGATTTTCAGCCAGAAGATTGTTGAAATCAGGCTAAAATGACACTGCCCAAACAAATGTTAGGAGACAGAACTTCAGCTAGCAAAAAATCAAAAAATTCACTTGATACCACTGACTTCAGGGGAGCTATCCCAAATATCAGCAGCTGGGAATCTGCCACTATCATAAAAAATATTGAGCTTGCAGGCTACCATTGGTATATCTGGTACTTTTAGTTAAGGTAGACATCTTGTTACAGACTGTAACAAAAGAAGCTATGAAAACAGAATTTTAACAAAGGGCAACACTCCAGGTAAGTGTTGAAGAATAAGTGTGTCTCTGTTCTACCACCTCTCTAAAAGAACAGGGTAAAAAATGTTGAATGCAGCAAAAGTATAGTCCTCAATACACTCTAGTGCAGAAAGGGATGAGCTACCAGCGATACAAGTCTGTAGAATGGTATAATTACTTCCTTTATAACTTTGCTCTCTTCTGATTACATACATACGTTTTAAAGGTCCTCCGTCATTCAGAAGGGCACTGGAGAAGGGGGGTCAGCTCTGTATAGTTGCTGGTAAGAAATCCTAATCTCAACATCGGTGTAAGCTAGAGGTGTCTATACATTTGAGCACTTCCTGTTTTCACTTAGTGATCAAATATGTTCTTTGCAGGGCAAATAGGGGAGCACTTGAGGGAGGAAAGCAGAGATGTCTGAGAGGCTAATTGAGTGTACTAAGGACTCCTTGGCATAGAGGAAAAGGAGTCTTCCAAAGCTATGAATAAACTCTCGGCTTGGGTCAGATTTCTTGCTGTTTCTTTTCTTTAACCACCTTTGAACTCAAATAAAAACAGCCTTAATGTCAGGTTTACCTTTCTGATGTTGTAATCTTTATGTACTATTGAAAAGCTTATACTACCAGACTAGGATTTCCTCTACTTTCTTAAACACTGGATGTTATCCAGAAAAAGCATACACATTTCCAACCAATTCATCCTCAGATCTTTCATCTTCCGGTACTGTTGTAATTCCAAATGTAAGACAGAGCTCAGTAAGTGAACAAGAACATGACAGAAGCTCCTACTCCTTGCATTTGATTTCCAACAATAAAAACATGCATGTGTATCCTATTTCAAACATAATTAAAGTTACTGAAAATGGAAGCTGTGATACGGGTTAGAAAGACACAGCCTGTCAGATAAATTCACTCTACATCAGAGTTCAAGTGCCTGTCTCTTCAAAAAAGCCACTTAAGCAATTCAGTTTTTAAAAATGGCAACCTTAAGAGTTTGCAAACTGATTGAATAAAGGAAAAAATAGCATTTTATTTAAAATTGTAAGTAAATACAATTAGTCAAAACCAAGTTACTTTCTCTGGATTTGACAGTCTAAAGGAATTTTGAGTTTAATCCATGCCATAAGACATGGACTGCCTCTGTCTCTCCTTCCAGGGAAACCAGAGGTTAATGATTTTTGTCATATTGAGACTAACAGCTAACAATTGCTACAGTTGGCCTTTAGTATTTTATTTGTCCTTTTGAGGTATTCAGAATAGGTGACAATGGCTTGCAGTTGAGAACATATGTAGAGAGACCCCTGTGGCTTATGGAAAAGTTGCTCCATGCTGGTTGGGTGTTTGAAAAAAAAAATAAAACGAGAGCTCTTTTATGTTCCTCTCCTTAATGAATGCATGAATGTCAAAATGTACCAATGGCCCATTCAGGGGGCAAAGCCTAAGCAGCTCCTTCTTTAAGAACACATCCTGAGATGTAAAATACATTTGCTTAACAAATTAAAATAATGAGATAATTCAATTAGTTTCTTTAAAAAAAAAAAGAGAGAGAGAAAGAAAAAAGGGTACATCAGGGGATTATTGTAATACAAGAACAGGTCATACAGCACAAAGGAGGAACAAACCAATTTGAAATAAGTTTAGAGTAGTAATGAAGGAATGTACATTGAATCATGGACCACCATTGTAAAGATATTTACTTGAAACAATAAAATTGTACATCACAGATTCCCCTGTTCTGGCTGAGCCAGCTTTGTGCTTTGAATGGACAAGCTAATTTGAGAAAAAGTGCAAGATCTTTAAAAGCAAAGAGTTCTCTTCTTTCCCTGCATGTGTTTATGGCAAGAACCTTTCTGAATTTACATTGCACTGGGCAGGGGTCTCCATTATCAGTTTGCAGGTCTGAGAATTACAGCACAGTAAATCTTTCAACACCTGCAAACTCATTAAAGATTGGACGGTAAAAGGTTTGGTGCTTTTTTGTGTTAGTTTAATTTGATTTTTGTGAGGCCATCCTCACCAGTGACAGCAAATTTCCTCAATTCATGCAGGATGGAGAGGGTCAGGAGAGAGAGGATGGAAACAAGCAAAAGGGATTTCAAAAAGCCAGGAGTACTTTCCTCAAGAGAAGAGAGAGGCAGTTGACTGTTTAATAAGCATGTGTTGAATGCTTTCAAGGAACACGTGAGAAAGGAAAGCACAGAGGGGAAAAAAAAAGATATCACAAGTTTCATAAGAGGAGATGGAGTTAACACGGAGACATACAAAACAAACTGGTTTATTTGTGGCCCTGCTTTTTGCTGCCCGCCTGTACTACTCCTCTAAAGATACCCTACAGCTAAATGAAAAACTCTCCACTCACACTCACTCGACTTCCAAATTAAAAACATTTTACAGGTTAGTAAATCTCCAGCTGAGGTGATGTAGCAAAGAACAGCTGTGAAGTAATTTTGATAATGATGAGAATAATAAGCACATGGCAAGGTTCAGGGCTTTGCTGTTGCAGCTTCAGTGCTCCTGAATAGATAAAAGTGATTAAATACTCCTGATTATCCCTGACCAATATGTAATGGATTTACAGCCCTTTCAATTAGTCAGTATTTGCTTAGGACTCATTATTTTGTCTTTGGTTAAGTAATCAGCCCAGAGACTCATGTTCTGTCTAATTCCTCTGAGCCAAGTGGGTACAGGGCACCTGACCTTTGAAATGGCCATAGCTGGGAGGCAGGAATAACCACTGCTCCAGCAGAGACACTGGCTATTCCAGCTAATCCTGACCCCACAGGCCAGATCAATGCACCTTAGTTTGCTACTAATGTCCTTACATCAAAATGATGGTTTAGAAATGTGGATCTATCGCTCCCCCCCTTTAGCTGTGCTGCTAGCAGAGCAGTTCGATAGTCCCTATCATAAATAAATCGGGTACCTTGTCCTGAAATCATTACACTGTAACCAACATCAGCTACCGTGGAAATTTATAAAACTTTGGTAGAAGAAGAGGTAGTTAATAACAGTTAGCATTTTAAGCCTTATCAAGAAACAATTTTACAGCAAAAGGAAAAGGAAAATCAATTTATAATTTTACCAGTTTCCGTTATATCCCACATGAAGTAAACTACGAGTGTTACTAGGTTTTCTGTGGAACCATGTTTTGATGCCTAAGTGAAGCTATAATAGTCAACGGAACACCAACACATAAACCCAGTTGCAAGTAGGGGGATAAACATAGCCCATGGAAAGCATTGCTTTTTCACATATTTAATCTTTCTCTCCCCTCCCCCCAAACATGAATATGGCTAACTTTTAACATAATGGACTTCAAGAGAAGCTAAAAAGCTACTTATTCTCTCTGTTACGCAATGGAAGAATTACGGAACCCGTAGGCTTTCTATATTTCTCACGAAAACAACAATGACAAGTTTACAAGCTACTGCTTTGACTTCTCTAACATCCCCAGTGCATGTCAGCACACACAGACAAGGGCTCTCTCTTGCACCACATACGTAGGGAGTTTGTGTAAACAGAGGCCAACAGCAAAGAATCCAGAAGGCAGAGCTTCAGATATGCTATAGCAAGAACACCCTCTTTTTTTTGTCCTTAGCAACATTTTGAATGGTTCAAAGCAAAAATTGGTTAATTTCTATGTAGATGTTCCGTGCTAAGGCTTTGTACTCTCTCTTTGTCTCTCTATAGGTGTGTATGTGTGTGTATATATACACATATATAGGTTTCTTTCAGATTTGTCATGATTCCAAGAGCCAAAAAAAATAATATATGAAAAAAAAATAGAAGCAACAATAATTGAGCCCTAATAATGGTCCAAAAATTATGGGGACAATTGATTTCTAATAACAATGAATAAACCTCATTAGGCACACAAATAGAAATCTATTTTGGTTTGGGGCACCACTTACTGTGAGATGCTGGAAAAGCCACGCTCTCATGATATTTGTTGCTACTTTGGGGAAAATGCCTCTTTTCTTCTGACGCTTTTTGTCCTTGTCTGGGTCATCGTCATCCCCTGTACCAGGTGAGGCTACACTGTTGTCTAAACCATCTCCTGCAACAAAGAGAAAAACAGGAAGGAGGAGATATTTAACAAACAAAATATAGAGGCCAAACAGTACCATTAATTACCAAGACATTACCACAGTTATATTTTGATTTGCTAGACCAGGCACATACAGTTTCTCATTATATACGAGTGCTGATACAAATATGTAAAAATTAGAAACCATGTCTCTCCAAATACTAATTTTGCATTTCACACATGCATATATCATTAATTCAATTATAATTGTGTGCTTGACATAGTGCAATAGTTCTTTGTCAATTATGGGATTCAGTGTGGGAAAACCTGCCACAAGAAAACCCATTCACTGTAAATGCGTCCCTACAACTATTCTGAATACATACTATAAGTAATCAAGTTAAATGTTCTGTAGTCTATATATTCAAGGCCCTCTACAGAGGTGGCAGTAACCATGTCACCGTTCAGTGCACATAACACACTGTCAGATGAGCCCCTCCCCATAACCATCACCTCCCAACACACACACATACGCACGCACAAACACGTACACCTAGTGTGACCCTGCATACAGCATTTGCATGACATGAAAACTTCTACATCTCTGCATCAGTGATTAGTATCATTAAAAAAAAAAAAAGAAAGAAAAAGACACACATCAAGGTAGAGCTCTCACTTAATCAGAACTTTCCATCAACATCTTTCTCTTCTATGCTTTTCCCTGGCATTAATTGTGCATTAGCAAAAATCATTTACTTTTAACAGTCATAGTTATTTTTTCTTGCCCTCCAGCAAAAATGCCTTGAAAGCCTGCCTGGAGGGCATCTAAATTATGTATCTGAAAAACTCTTCTGGCAAGGCATTGCAGGACCCCTACTTTCTTAAAATTCATACGAGCACGTCTTCCTGTTTTTGGGAAGGCATCAATCAAGAGCAGCAATATATGCCATATTCCTACATTAATATTTGAACTAATAACTTTAAAAAAAAGGAAAGAAACAAGATCCGACTTGTGACATAATCAAATGCAAAATAAATGAAGAATACTGGGACAGCACTGAGACTTTATAGATTGCTGTGTTTTCCTTACACATCATTAGCCCGGAGCCACACGAAAGAGGAAAACAGAGAAGTGGAGAGTTTATGCTCCCTGCTGGTGTTTAAGAAGCTGAGGTCCTGGAAGGACATCTGGGAATTGTGCTGAGACGGTGGTTTTTGTAATTTAAGAATAGACATTCATTAGCAGTAAATGCCATAAATCCCATGCTAAGTAAAAACCTTGTCCAAGAAAGCCTAAAACAATAAACTCTGTGCTCAATGTAGCCTGAGCTAGACGCTCCATAGCTTCCTGAGGAATGCTATAGATTCATGAGCTAATTCCTATAGCCTTGTCTAGCTGTGTAGTGCTACTAAACGAAATACATTGCTGCTACATATAGCCCATTTGCTTCAAAATCTGCATTTCAGCTCCATCTTCCCTCCCGTGCCAGATCACCCTTCTTCCACTGCCTCCCCTCTGAAAAACCAACCCTTTCGGACCAGAGAGACAGAAAAAGCCACAGCAAAGAGCTAGAAGATTAATTTTATTGACATTTCCATTTTCACTGCAATGCGATACCCTCCATCACATGGAAGAGATGACCCTCACTATTTACAGACTGACAGGCCACTTCATTACAACCACCCTGCCCCAAGGCAGAGCAGCTCCTTTCCATCTGCCCAAACACCAGAGCAAGACCCTGAAGTCACTGCTTTCTTTCTCATGCCTTTTTTTCTTTTTTTTTTTTTGTGTGTTTGTTTCCGTTAACGATAGAGAAAGGAGAGTCGAATCACAGCAAACTAATCGAAGAGCTTATGGAAGCCCTATATGCTGTAACCAACTGTTCGCTTTTGCAAGATGTTGGTTATTTAGAAAGCGCTCCTTTCCATTGCCCCCTCCCCCCCACATTCTACCCCTCTCTCTCTCACACACACACACACACACACTTTCCACTATGCCAAGGAACTGCTGCAAGGCAAATTCTCACAAACACTAATGGCTTCTGACTGCTCCTTGGCAACCCCAGCATTTTAACCTGGGTGGATATGCTCTCCAAAATACAGACACTGGAGCTATCTCATCAGCTGTTCATGTGACACAGATGGAGAGTGGCTATTAGGAGCCAGGCAATGGGCCTTGGGGATCTGAGGTGCTGTACTGTAGCCTCAGGCAGTTTTGAAAAGCAGTACCCGGAGATGGGGGGAAAAAAAATCCCTACTGAAAGTGCAAGTTTGAAGTCAGTCAGTCTGTTTGTCTATCTGTCGTGCAGATAAAGATATCTTTGTCTCTTTATGTAAAAGCTACGTGTGTATGCACAGGATGCGCAGAGCTATAAAACTTCCACTCTGCACCCTCCTTTTGCACAGCAAAATTCCTGTTGTCTGCACATGCACACTCTCCCAGCCGTGAGCATCCTCAGCAGGAGTCACAGCAAATCATTGTTTAGACCTATTGGAGAAGTTGTTATTATCCTGGTTTTTAAAAGCTAATAGTAGGCCAGGAGAGAAAAGTCCAGCTGAAGCTCCCATTGCCTTCCTACCTCAATCAGTGATCAAAATGGGAAGAGTTGGGGCTTCCCCAGTCTGTTCTGTTACTTCAGCTCTGGGGTTCTCAGCATAAGAAGGACATGGATCTGCTCAGGCAAGTCCCCAGGAGGGCATGAAGGTGGTCAGGGGGCTGGAGCATCTCCCCTATGAGGACAGGCTGTGAGAGTTGGGTTTGTTCAGCATGGATAAGAGAAGGCTTCAGGGAGCCCTTATAGCAGCCTTCCAGTACTTAAAGGGGGCTACAGGAAAGAAGGGGAGGGACTCTGTCAGGGAGTGTAGGACAAGGGGTAATGGGTTTAAACTGAAACAGTAGATTTCAGTTTAGATGTAAGGAAGAAGTTCCTCACTGTGAAGGTGGTGAGGCACTGGCACAGGCTGCCCAGAGAAGTTGTGGATGCCCCCTCCCTGGAAGTGGAGGCCAGGCTGGACAGAGCTTTGAGTGACCTAATCTGGTGTGAGGTGTCCCTGCGCATGGCAGGTGGGTTGAAACTAGATGATCTTTAACAAACCACCCTATGATTCTGTGAAAGGATATTTAATTACTGTATCTCCAAATGACCTCAGAAGATCAATATAGCAAGATTTGTTGCTCCTGGTGAACTACAGGCCCAATCCTGTTAATCTATATTGTCATATCTTCAATAGGACTATAACCACTTATATTAGCGGATGCCTCTTCTAGTAAGCAAGAACACATAGAAGTAGCCCATAACTGACTTTTCCAAGATGAAATTATTTACTTCTTGGATATGAAGGGCCTGATCCTAGTTTGCTGTATCCAAAGAAACATGACTTACTTTCGATAATTTCCTTTTCTTCATTTAAAATGAAATAAAACAGACATGAAAGTCACCCTATGGCAGATTGGATTAACTAGATTTTTAACCGCTCTATGAAGGAATCCAAATTTAAGTAATTTAAACTATCATTATAAGTGATTCTGCTTATGTGAACTGTTCATATCCTGATTTGGATGTTAATTTTAAAGAAGAGTAGAGTCAAGTCCTAATTTGTATGGAAATTGCAATCACACAAGCATAGCTATCCCAATTTTCTAGTGGGGAAATAAAGTCTAGGTTTTGGCCCACTGACCTTCTCTTTCATACAACAGCAAAAGAATTGCAGACTGGCTTTCTCCTGTTTTGCACACTGTTCACTCATTTCTTCTTGTGCAAAGAGTACAAGCGACTGCAAAACTCTACCACCATTCTAGGAAAGTGGAGAATTCTGAAGTGGCACTCTCTTTGCAGAGGGGTCAATGATTAAGCAAGATTCAAGCCAGTAGAGAATTAGGCATATTATCCAGCTTGTTTATCAGTGATACGTAATAGTCTCAAAAAACCCTGTAAAAGATGGAGAGTTTACAAGAAACTTTGCAGAATGACCCACATGGGGTTCCTTAAACACCTTCTCTTCTAGGGGAGGGGTTTGTGGAGGAAGCTGAAGATGCAACTCTTCTTTACACAGTGGGAAGTTTGGCTTCCACACTAACTCTGTGTGCAGATACTCTTACCACATGCTGAGGATTTCTCCTCACAAGGCATATTATTTTGCATCGAAAGCAAAGAAGACTACATATTATTTAAAAATACCAAGTAAGTAGTTAGAGCAGACTTTCCACTGCACCATAATTTCAAACTGAACCTGCTGCAAATTGATTTCTTGGGCAGACTAGCCTGCTGACCCCAATGTTCATACAGATGCGCACTCTTTGGGAAACAGAGCCCAGTCCTACATAAGGACTGTCCAACCTTACTGTGTGAAAGAATTCCTCTTGGACAGTCATCCACACTACCAGTATTATCTCAACCCCTGTCCTCATCTGTGTCCCTCACAGAGTAAAGACCCGGCAAGAGATGAAGCAAATGATGTTTAGAAGCTGCTCATCTCGTCTGTTCACCATTTGTGAACAAATTGAATAAATCCCCAATCTATGCAAAATGATAACTGATAAGGATTACCCAAGTCAGGCCAAAACACAGAAGCCTGGTAACAGCCCAGATTCAAACTCTAGAAATGGTTTCTATTACCATCATAACAAGAAACGCAATAAGAAAAGTGTTTTCTGGAAAAATACATTTCAGGACCTAGAGTGTGAGTCCCTTCACCATCAGATATCCCTTACAGCTCTACGGTTTGTCATGCTAAAGGAAAAAAGAGAAGAGCACGGGCATCTAAGGCAGGGGGAATACGAGACACTTCAATGTTTTTCTAAACATAGCACAAGCAATGTGAAAACCAAGTCAAAGTATTCTGAAAAGGTAAGTTGTAGTACACTATGCTGTAAATAAACTACTCTACAATCTTTCAGCCCAGTATTTTAAGTAGAATGTGTAGATATAAATGCAAAATAAAGAGAAGAATCTGTATGCAGCTTATATTCACAACTTGCAATTATTTGTTTGTACTTATAATGTGTCCATCTGGACACATAAGCATTGCAA